AAATGGCATCGACCACATGGCCTCTTTATACCTCCTTCCTGGCCTCTTCTTGTATGCAGCAGGTCACCTGGTCAGAGGCCAATCTCTGTGTTTCCTGCTGGCTGCTCTCAGGTGACAGCCCCCATTCTTTGGGTGTGTCTTTGGCCCATCAAGTGCCATTGTCCCACAGGGCTTCGCTACTCAGCCTGTCCATAGCAATGCTTAACCACATTCAGAGAAATATTCAGCTTCCACACAGATTACAGATTCCTACCTACACACACAGACATTATACACTCACATAAATAGCGTACATAAGATCAGCAAACAATAAGCTCCCATTCAATACCCCACATGGCTCCCTTTTATACCAATTTCTGGGGCCAACACCCCTACCTAGGGGTGCAGCAGCGATCTGGCTGCTTCCCTCTAATTCGGTAATGTGACACCGTGCCACACAACCACATCATAAGCCTCCAGGAACTCAGCCGTGCAACCAAAAAAGATGCCAACTCTGCCCACATATCTACACTGACTAATTCATCACTGGAGCAAACAGCATAAGCCACAGAATCAAAGGGTCATTTGACTGCACATCCAGTAATTTGATCTATGCCATCAAATGCCAGAAGTGCCCCACTGCTATATATATATTGGACAAACTGGACTGTCTTTGCGGGAAAGTATCAATGAACACAAATCGGATATACGTAAAGGAAACACATAAAAGCCAGCTGGTGCACATTTCTGCTTACCTAACCATACTTTAACAGACCTGCAGGTGGCTGTCTTGTCACAGGCCAGCTCCACAAGCCAAATACATAGGGAAGGATTAGAATCTTACTTCATCCACAAATTCAGTTCACATGCTAATGGACTCAATTGTGATATGGGCTGGCTAGGACACTACCTACTTCATAACCACTGAAGGTGCTAACAGCTCTGCTAAGTATCTCCAGATACTTGATGCTCTGTCTCACACTCCTTCCTTTTTTCTTTTTTTTTCTTTTTCTCCCCCTTCTCCTATTTATTTCGAATTTTCATATCTCCTACTCATACCTCCGGTCATCTGAAGAAGTGGGCTGTGCCCACGAAAGCCCATGATACCATCTACATGTTTTGTTAGTCTATAAAGTGCTACCTGAACATTTGTTGTTTTCTTCTGGAAAAGAAAACTACTTGAGTTAAAAGTACAAAAGTATCACATCTTAATTGTACTCAAGTATGTATATACACACATGCACAGTTGCCAGATGGTTTAAACAAAAATACCAGACACACTAGACATTACATAACAATCTACATTACAATATTTCCGTCAGTAATCATTAAATTCTTTAGAAAATACCGGACATTTATATTTTCTCATTAATATTTTCTCAATTTGTTTCCCAAACAAAAAGCTCAAATACTGGACGGTCGCATTCAAAACCAGACACCTGGCACCCTATACACACACACACGTTTATATACTCGTGCACACACACTCTCTGTCTCTCCTGGAAAACAGTAGATCAGGAGTGGGGAACCTTTTTTGGGTTGGGAGCCACTAACCTACAGAAAAATCAGTTGGGGGCCACAAGGCAACTCCCAAAAACAAACAGAAACCCCTCACTAATGTGGCCCTGAAATCTGGCCAATGGGAGCAGCAGGGAAACTCTCCCACGACCAGTTTCCAGCACCACATTCCCCCAGTCAGGGGAAGAGTGCAGCTCCGTGCTGCTTCTCCCACACATGCCAGATCCAGCCCGCAAGGCCCAGGGTTTCCCACTCCTGCATATAGGGCCTGCCTTATGGAAAATGGCACCCTGGGTGAACTTGCGTTTTGATGCCCCTGCCTCCCTACTCCAGGCATGGTGCTCCCCCAATTTCTCTTGGAAGCTTCTCAGTCCCTTGTTCCCCTGAGTACAGGGCCATTGTCTCTTCCCCCTTGCAAAGGGGTTGTACTAGTCCTCCTTGGTCAAGCCTTTCCTTTAACAGCTTCATTGAGAATGGATTATTTTAGCTTAAATCAGAGGTGGGGAGCCTAAGGCCCGGGGGCCAGATGTGGCCCCCAGCTTGCTTGGATCTGGCCCCCAAAACTCAGGGCTTCTCCATAGCATTGGGGAGCCCGTGATGGTGCTCCAACCTCCTGTCATCCCTCCATGGGACTTAAGCACACAAAATCTACTAGCCTAGGCCCCCCAAGGCTCTAGTGTGTGCGGGGAGTGCCTTTCTTATGCTCAGTTGGAGGCCACATCAGTGAGGGTTCTGTTTGGTTTCTTTTGCTTTTCACTTACATGCAGCCCCTGATCAATTTTTTTTTTTTTTTTTTCCCTGTGGGTCCACGGCCCCTGATCCAAAAAAAGTTCCCCAACCCTGGATTAAATATTCTCTCCAAGATATAACACACAAAAGGCAGGCTGCTGTTTTTGAATCACATCAGACTGTGAAATGTAACTGTGGGTAAAAAAACCTGAGTGGGTGTCTCACCTTTCAGTGGGTTCTCTGAAGAAGCACTGGCAGCTCCCTTGCAGCAGCAGCAGCATTTGCCCTTAATGCCTGGTGTTTTGCCTGCAGCTCATGGCAAGCTTCATGCTGTCAGATGGGGGCTGCATCTTACCCATGGCAAGCCCACACCCATGCAGCCCTCTGACCACTCCTGACTCACCAGGGGTGCCAGTTCAGGTTGTGGTGGAGCTGGGAAAGGCAACTTTAACTGTGATTCCAAAGGATACTTAGGCACCTGAAATCTCTAAGGTTTTGTGTGGGTGTGGGTGTGGGTGTGGGTGTGTGTGTGTTTGGGGAGGGGGTGCAACTTAGAAATTAGCTGATTTCACAGTCCTGAAATATTACCATCAGTAATAATTAAATTATTTACAGAAAGCAAGAAAAATTCTGCTTGAGAATGTTAGTTAAAATTCAATTATATAAACTTCTGAGCTGGGCTTGTTATAAATGAATGAGTGAATGAATAGTTAAATCAACAAATCATGTCTGGTATTAGGATATTGATTTTGAATATCTTGGCATGCAATAGTGGTTTTTGCTGCAGTCATATTGATGCCTGGATGAGAGCCAGAAAGCGAGTGAAGGATGTTAAATATTGATTAACTTGCTAGTTGATAGGCACTTCCGCTTTCCTCCTTTGAAATGTACAAGAACCCCAGTGGGGGCTCTTGCACATTCCAAAGTTGGAGCTCTTGAGTGCAGCCTGGGGCCAGTGAGAAGTCCCACTGACTCTGGGCTCCATGCAGGCGAGTCCACTTTGAAATGCACAGCCCCCAGCGGGGACTCTTGTCAATTTCAAAGTGGAAGCGCCCGCCTGGAGCCTGGGATCAGCAGGGGACTCCCCAGTTGATCCTGGGTTCCGTGCAGCATTTTCGATTTTTTTTTCAGAAGAGCAGATGTGGTTTTTTTGGCATACCTGTAAAACTTGTTTTACAAGGAAGAAAGGATGTTCCAAAAAAGGTTTTTTTTTTTCTGACATTTGGCCTAGTATAAATGGGCCAAATGTTGGAAAAGCCTCTTCCAAAAAAAAGTGGAAAAAGCTACGCAATTTGCGGTTCGCAAGTTCTGTAACTTTTTCCGGAATAACTGTGTAGTCTAGACATAGCCCCACTGTGACTCATTTCCCTAGGGGGCACATAGGAGAGTTGATTTCAGCAATACTCATCTGCTTTGCACCCACCCATCCACCTGCCTTGCATTGAGGAAGCCCCCTCATCCATCCCAAAAAAGTGAGCAAAACGTCTGAGCCAGCCAGGGAAGCAGGAGGACAGGACCAACTGTTGATGGTAGGGGACCTTTAAATTGTGCCCTCCTTCCAACAATTCAAGTATTAAACCGCACCTCCCCAGCCTGTAGCTCAGTCTTCCTGCTTAGTTCCTCTATGGGGCTCTTAGGCTGTCTCTAGACTGGCCAGTTTTTCCAGAAAATCAGCCGCTTTTCCGGAAAAACTTGCCAGCTGTCTACACTCGCTGCTTGAATTTCCACAAAAGCACTGACTTCCTACTGTAAGAAATCAGTGCTTTTTGCGGAAATACTGTGCTGCTCCCGTTCGGGCAAAAATCCCTTTTGCGCAAAACTTTTGCGCAAAAGGGCCAGTATAGACAGCTGAGATTTGTTTTGCACAAAAGCGCGTCTATATTGGCCATGGATGCTTTTCCTCAAAAAGTGCTTTTGCGGAAAAGCGTCTGTGCCAATCTAGATGCTCTTTTCCAAAAATGCTTTTAACGGAAAACTTTTCCGTTAAAAGCATTTCTGGAAAATCACGCCAGTCTAGACGTAGCCTTAGAGAGAAAGAGGAAGAAAAGGAGGAGGGGCGGGTGGACCCAGACCTGCTCCACACTAACACACACCCAGATGGCAGGGTTGCTCCAAACCCCAGCCACCCAGCACAGAGAGAAGCTGTGCACGTGCACGCACGCACACAGTTCTTGAATCCACAGCAAACTCAGCCGCCCACCCTGAACATCTTCCAGCCCAGCCTCACAAGCCTCTCACCACGGGGCTTTTACAGTGGGCTCTCTGTCCCACGGAGAATGGGGAGCTCCCCCTCGGCGTTCACCTTGCTGCTGCTCCCACCACAGCAGAGGATTTATCTTGAGACGAGTAAGTGCTTCTGCCCTTTGCTGAGCTGGCTGCTGGGTTTCCCCTCCTAATTAGCTGGCCGGCCCCATGTAAGGTCACATGAGACTATTCATATGTGCCCCCAGGATTTATCTTGAGACGAGTAAGTGCTTCTGCCCTTTGCTGAGCTGGCTGCTGGGTTTCCCCTCCTAATTAGCTGGCCGGCCCCATGTAAGGTCACATGAGACTATTCATATGTGCCCCCATCAGCACATCACTTTGGGCAGCCGCCCTGGTTGCTCAGGTCTAGGGCTGGCAATGCCTGCATACATACTGTTTGTGAATGAAAAGGTGTTGATGCAGCTATTAAAAGGCTTCTTCATTGGGTGAGTCATTGTGTTTGACTATTTTTTTAATTGTCACTGTATGATGATTGGATGCTTGCATGTACAGCTGTGATTTAGCAAATCAGAATGCTGGCTTGCACTACTGTCAGTGGGTTGATGAAAGTAGTAACTAAGCACTTCTGGAAATAGTAGTGGAATAAAAAGTACAATATTTTAAAAAAAACTACTTCAGTAAAAGTCGAAGTACTGTATCGCAAAAATAAATTACTTGAGTAAAGTACAAATACCGAAAAAATGTATGAGTAGTGTCATGAAGTATTTCTACTTATTTACTTTCCACCTCTGAAACTATGCCAAGAGTTTATTCTCTAACTTGACAATACCAATAAAGTAGTGAGGAAAAGGATACAAACTGAAGGTATTAAATATTTCCTTTCTATTTTCTCATTTTCAAACATTTGAATCTATCCACTTATCTTCATACCTTATCTTAGGCTGCCACTCAAGCATAGAATTGCAAATAGCCTCCCTTCATTCCATCCCTTCAGAACTTTTCTTAGATGAAGACTTTTATATGAACTCCGTCCATTTCTTCCCTAAGGGTATGTCTACACTACCTCAAGTTTTGTCGAAAAAACAGCCATTTTTCTGACAAAACTCTGAACGTCCACACTGCAATTGTGTTCTTCTGCAAGAAAATCAAAAGAACAGAGGTTTTTTCCAGCATTGGTAATCCTCATTCTATGAGGAAGAAGCCTTTTTGTGAAAGAGCTCTTTCACAAAAAGGCGCGTGTATTCAGGGCCGAGAGAGCTCTTTTGGAAGAAGAGGAAAAAGCACAGGTGCCTTTGTGGCCATTCCGTCCATAGCAATCACAGCTTAAATGCGATATAGCACCCATTCAGTCTGGATGCTCTCTTTCGAAAAAGCAGATCGCTTTTTTAATGCACTTTTGCAGGGTGGACGCTCTCAGAAGAAATTTTTTTGGAAGATCTCTTCCAGAAAAGCTTCTTCGGAAAGAAGCGTGTAGTCTAGATGTAGCTCAAGTCATCTGTCCTGAAACACTGAAGCCCAATCCAGGAGACTGAAATAAGAATAGGTATTCTGAAAGGCTACGTCTACACTGGCCCCTTTTCCGGAAGGGGCATGTAAATTTCACCAGTCGTCGTAGGGAAATCCGCGGGGGATTTAAATATTTAAATATCCCCCGCGGCATTTAAATAAAAATGTCCGCCGCTTTTTTCTGGCTTTTAAAAAAGCCGGAAAAGAGCGTCTACACTGGCCCCGATCCTCCGGAAAAAGCGCCCTTTTCCGGAGGCTCTTATTCCTACTTTGAAGTAGGCGCTTTTTCCGGAGGATCGGGGCCAGTCTAGACGCTCTTTTCCGGCTTTTTTAAAAGCCGGAAAAAAGCGGCGGACATTTTTATTTAAATGCCGCGGGGGATATTTAAATCCCCCGCAGATTTCCCTACGACGACTGGTGAAATTTACATGCCCCTTCCGGAAAAGGGGCCAGTGTAGACGTAGCCAAAATGTTTACATTATTTAGTTATTTATTAAATATGTAACTATCTACATTAATAGTAAGCACCACTAAGAAGAAAACAGTGAGTTCTGTTTCTAAAATTGTTCTGCAAGTTATTAAAACAAAAAACCAAGCACTGCCATTGTTTCCCCTTCTGTTAAGTGTCTCAGTATAAACTCATTTTGCCGCTCCTCTTCTTGCCATTAGTCTCCTGCCAATGAACAGTAAGGAGCAAACAGGAATTCCTCTTGGCTGAATTTATAATTGTGAAAATAAGTGCAGGCAGCTTAACTCTAACTAATTGTATTATTTTAAAAACATTGATGTTTATTTTTACCTGATTATTTCCCTTTCAGTGTTCTGTACCCATATGTTGTCCAAGATAGCATGTACTTGGCATACGTACTGCCTCTGCACAACAAAGAAAACCCCATAGCTGCCCTGCACCAGCTAACTCTCAGACTTCCAGGCTTGGGCTGTAGAGCTGTTCCACTGACATATACATCTCCAGGCTCAGACTGAAACAGATTGTAAGACCCCCACAATGTCCAAAAGCATTCAAGTCTACACAGCAATGAAACAGCCCCAAAGCATAAGTTCCAGGAGCCAGAGTGCACTGCCATTATTTTTCTTTGCTCTGTAGATTTATACTTAATGACAAAGGAAGAGAGTAAGATTTTCCACTTTGTCTTTTTTCTATGCTGTTTTAGTAGACAGTGACTCTCCAAATTTTCTGCATTGTGTAATACTTGAGAGAGAGCAGCTGTCTTGTGGACTCCCAAGCACTTCACTTTTATCATGGGGTGATACATCTGTCACCCACTAGTTTAGAATCAGTACTAAGAAGAAATAGTCTGAGTCAGCAGAGCATTCTGTGATGGTTAATTTTATGTGTTTGTCTTCCAGCTGATAGTCTCCACCTGGCAGTTGAGACACCAGCTAGATTCTCTTGTCCATGTTTAATAACAAAGGTTATACACCCTAAATTCTGCTCCATTTGACATCTGCGCATCTCACTTATTCAGTGGGGTTGTATAAATGTACTTGAGCACACTCTCAACCATTTTGATTGAGAAAAATTGAATGAAGTTCATTCACTCTCATCTGTGTTTAATTTTGTAGGAAAAATAAGCATTCACAGGAGTAAAAATATGTGTGTAGTTGAAGTTGGAAAACAACTTTTGTGTATAAGGATCAGCTGAGCAAGTAAACTTTCCCTGTGGAGAAGTCATATTTCAGACTCGTCCCACCTGTGCAAAACTATCCCATATAAGTCAGTGTGCATGCAAAATGTACTTTAAAGGGTAACTTTTTAAACAGTACAAACAATATGCAAATATGGATGCAGTACTCAAAGAACAGAGTTAGAGCAAAAAATTGGATAAAGGCTATTACAATACAGTTCCAGCTAAACTAGTTCCTATTGCAGTCATAGGCTTCCCCTATGTCACACCTATGTTTGAAAAGCCTGATTTGGCTGGGGTGAAGGAAGAGAAGTGTGACCGTGAGAACCAAGGGGCAGCTCTTGTACAACAACAAAACCAAGGACCAGCTGGACTCTTATCAGGCAGCCCTGCCCTATGATGTAGGACTAGGTTTGAGGCATCCCACCTGTGGTGGGAGAGGCCATGCCCGTGAGGCTCCCCGAGTTGCCTTTCCCTGCCTCCATCAAGGAGGTCATGTTTTTTAAAGACTTGCAAGATTTAAAGAAGCTTCAGGGGGTAGCAGTCTGTACAGGATAAACTGAAAAACAACCACTGGTCGGGTAGCACTTTACAGACTAACAAAACATGTAGATGGTATCATGAGCTGCTTGTGGGCACAGCCCATTTCTTCAGATTAAGTTTTCAAAATGGGGGCTGGGGCTGAGGGGAAAGGAAGAGAAGAAAGGGAGGGGACTGCAGTGGGTAAAACGCTCCAATTGTCTTTCACCTAGGGCTGCAGCTCCCAGGTCTCCCAGGT